CATGAATTTCTTATGGTACTTTTTATCATAGAAAGACCTTATAGCTCCACCAATTTGTTTTTTGTTGTTGCTGTTGTTTGTTTTTTAATGTATTTAGCACAGGATCCATAAGGTCTCACTACATAGATTGGACTTGTAGTGATCATTCCTGTTTTCAGCCTGCCAAGCACTGAGATTACAGACATGTGCCACCATGCCCAGTCATGCCTCAGTGGCGGGGCTGGCATGGCAGACCAAGGATTGAACTCCTGGCCCCTGTGTCTGCCTAAGCAGGTGCTTTAATCCACTGAGCTATCTTGTCAGCCCTATCTCCACCAATGTGAAAGATAGTTTTGCAAGATATATCATTCTTGGTTGGATGTTTTTCTTGTAGGGCTTGAACACTTTACTCCACGCACTCCTGGCCTTTAGAGTTTATGTCGACAGGTCTGCTGTAACTCTAGTGGACATTCCTTTGTAAGTAATTTGATGCTTTCTCTAACAGCTTTTAAGATTCTGTCCCTTGTGGGGCCAGGGAGATAGCTCAGTAGAATAAGTGCTTGCCTGGCAAGTGCAAGGGCCTGAGTTCAATCCCCAGTACCGGAAGAGAGAGAGAGAGAGAGAGAGAGAGAGAGAGAGAGAGAGAGAGAGAGAGAGAGACTGTCCCTTGTTGGACTTCTGGGGTTTTGTACAAAGTACTTTTTTTTTTTTTGTACCAGAAATCAAACTCAGGAACTTGTGCTTGGTGGGCAGGCACTTAAGCTGCTGAGCTATATCCCCTGCCCGACTTCTGGGATTTTGGATTGTAATGTGTTGTGAAGTTCTTTTCTGATCCTGGCAATTTGGGGTTCTATATACCTCCCTTATCTGTATGTGAAATTCTTTCCCCATATGTCCTAGTTACTTCTTCAATGCTGGGATAAAAATACCCCACACCCGCAAGTTAAAGAAGGAAAGGTTTATTTCAGTTCACAGTTCATAGAGGTGTAGGTCCCTAGGCAACTGGTTCTACCCTCATTCATAGAAAAGCAACATCATTATAGTGTAAATACAAAGACAAACCAAATATTCACATATAGTAAATGTATACTAAATGCAACAACTATACCTCCACTAACATTAGAAAATAAACTAGGCCTGGTGGTACACGCCTGTAATCCCAGCACTTAGGAGGCTGAGGCAGGAGGATCACCATGAGTTCAAGGCCAGCCTGGGCTCCACAGTGAGGTCCTATCTCAAGCTCCACCCCTCCCCTCAAAAAAGAAACAAACAGAGAAAATGATTCAACAATAATAGCAGAGAATTAACTAAATATATAAAAATTAATGAAGCTTAATGGTTATACCAGTAAAGATGGAGGAGATGGGGATGGCGTGGATGGGAAAATGAAAGAAGTAAAATTTGAAAAAAAAAAAAAAAAAGGGCTGGCGAGATGGTTCAGTGGTCTAAAGCACCTACTTGGAACAAGCTTGGCAAAGCACAGGGACCGTGGTTCAATCCCCCAGCACCACATGCCAGCCAGCCCCGCCCCCTGGTGGGCTGAGCTGGCCACACACACACACACACACACACACACACTAAATAAATAAATAAATGGAAAAAAAAAGAGAAATATGAAAAGGAAAGAAAAGTGAGATAAAGGATTCTATAAAGAAGTATAAGGAAATTAATATTATTAGATAAAAGTAACAGGTAAGAACAATAAGAAGAAAAAACTGAGCAAAATAAGAAAAACTAAAAAAGAAAAAGAAAACACACACTGACACCCCAAAGAATTAGTGAAAAAAGGGGGGGAAGAAAAAAAAAGTCCAAAATGTCCTGTTTTCGAATGAGTCCTTTCTGTCCAGGTCTGCAGCCTTGCCCTTCTGCAGACGGAGCAGGGATGGCGAGGCAGTGCTCAGACCGGCTGGTCTCCAGGCTCGGGTTTTCGCGCAAGTGCTGGGTGCTGCCCTCAGGCCAGCCGATGGGGTCTGCCTTGAGGCTGTCCTCCCGCTGGCAGACCCCCACTTCCTTCGTCCCTCTGTGCACCCCAAGTCACAGTTTTCTCTCACTAGTTTTCAGCCTGTGGGTTTACGAGGTGTCCCCAACCCCCTCTCCAGAGGCCCCCGTGGTTACCCAAGGCCCTGGCAGCCACCCAAATGGAGCTGTGTCCTTGCTGGTGTTGGAAGGCGAGGGCCGCAAACAGATGCCAAACTCTGCTAGCTGTAGGCAGGCGGGGTGTTGGTCTGCTAGAATTTAACGGCAGCACTTGCAGCCCCAGCACTTACATGCCTGGCCCGGCTTCGCACCATGGAGTTTGGGCACCCCAACATCCCTCCCCCCTCAGCTTACACTTTTTAGGGGGAGATGGCCAGCCTGCACCATCTTCACTGCTGTCTCCTGCGGCCCTCTCCCCCGCAGTCACTGTGGCAGGGTGACCCCCAGCGTGTAGCTGCTCTGCCTCTGCTCTGGGCTTGGTCCCAAATAATTAATCCCTTCCCCAAATGGCCCCTGATTAAATCCTCTGGAATGTGGCAGTCACTGCACTGAGCTTGCTCCCAGCTCCACCTGCCTTGCAGAAAGAGCCACTTCGGAGCGCAAGGCCACATTGACGGAGCAGTGGGCAGCAGCTGTGGGCTTCTCTGGGTGGCTCTTCCGAGAGCCACCATCCCCCCTGGGCTGCCCCGCATCCCGGTGCAGGCTGGAGCCACTGCCAGAAGCTGCCCCACTGCCACCTCCATCCTATCCTCTCTCTGCTGTGCAGTTCCCAGGCTTCCTGTCAGCTCCTTCCCTGCTCCTGGACGTTCAACTGCTGCCTTCTCTTCACTGAACTGTGTCTTGCCTCTAAATCCTGGAAGGCCACACTCTGCTGCTGGTTTCTACTCCAGCGTTTTGGGCTTCTCCTCTTTACACTTGGTGATGTTCTTAGATGCACAAAAGTTTTTAACTTTGAAGTTCAATTTGTCTTTCTGTTTTTCTGACTGACCATGCCTTTCGTATCTTATCTAAGAAATCACTGCCGAAGCCAATGTCATTAAACTTTGCCCCCTGTGTTTTCTT